TAGATAGATAGATAGATAGATAGATAGATAGATAGATAGATAGATAGATAGATAGATAGATAGATAGATAGATAGATAGATAGATAGATAGATCGTACGTAACGAAGTAATCGTTTCACACTACTTTTCACGTCCCGTCAAGTCAAACTCTATGACCTTTTGGACTTGTTATGTCATATCACTGCTTTCGATTTTCCTAACAACGGGTCTCTCTATCGGAATACCATATTGACTGTACCAACTATATTTACACAGCGCCTTGTGTATCACGGGATGCTGACGTCACGGACACCGATGCACTTCGAACAACTTCCTCTGCAATGCTTTGGCTCGTTTATAGGCATCTTTATGGGCACCTTTAGGGCATGCATGCCGTGAATATGGTGTGTAAACATTCCACAACCACCACATGTTTTCCCCCCAAGACCCCCAGAATCGTGGGATGTAATGATGTTCCCCCTCATTATCACGATGATTGGGCTTCGTTTGCATTTCGTCGTTTCGTGTTCCGTCATCTCGTTATAATATTTTCTCCGTCTCACAGGGACCGGTTTCGCACCATCGTCAACGTGTGGGGCGACGCGCTGGGCGCGGGCATCGTCGCTCACATTGTCCGAAATGACCTTCCGCATCTGGATCAGGACGATCACGACCGACGCGATCTGTCGAGCCTGAGTCCTCCGCCATCTTACAGCAGCGACAGCGGCGGCAAGGGTCACTCGAACAAAGCCTTCATCGCGCACGAATCGAACACGAAAATGTAAATTAACGCGCGTATAGACGCATGTGCACACACGCGCGCGCGCAGACATGCAGGCACGCCCACACGCACGCACGCACGTATACGCACCCAAGCACGCATGTACATACGTGCGTACGTATGTACGAACGCACGAACGAACGAACGAACGGACGAACGAACGCAAACGTAGATAATATTCTAGTAATTTATTGACTTATACTGCGCAAGTTACACGAGCGTTTCGCGCGTGCATTACAAAAGGTAATTTACGAAGCATGTTAAACATTATAAAACAAGGACATCACCACTAAACGATACTGAACTAAAAATTATAAAAAATTCTTCCCTAACATTTATAACGACGAATAACGCTAATCTTAACCGTGCACTTAAAACCTTATTATACTTATATAATGACTATATCGATACAACTACAGACGTACTATAATATACACACATACATACATATTAACACATATTATAAAATGGCTCGGATATTTTATGCATCATTATTGGTCAAAACGCGTC